CTGTCTATAACCATCAGAGCTATTGGTATTTCGTATTCACCATCCATTTTGGTTGAGATCGTAGGTTGAAACTTTGTTTTTCTCGAGCCACCGTCTACATTTGGGGTAGAAAGCCGGCGCATTCACGTTGTGATATGCTGCAACAAAGCAGTATAGAAAGCAATGGTCATCATCTCTATTGTTGATATTCGTGAGCAGAATAGAAGCAGCACTGAGCGCCTCAGGTAGCTCGAGGTAGTATCCTGCTCTTATTGGTGAGAAGGCCGCCGCAAAACTGTTTGCAGTTTTTCAATTCGACCAATAATCCACCCGCTAGCACGAGAAGAGAACGAAATGACTTGGTTGACCATATAATCAATAAGGTCCAAGTTTTGATCCGCAGCTAATTCCTCGTAGTACACTGTCAATGTCTTAATGTTCAGAAATAGCATGGTACCTCTTTTACCCTTTGTTCGGGCCCTCTTTGACCCTTTCTAGTATGAGAGCATCTATTTTTCCTTGTTTTGCATCATGACTTGAAACAAATCCGTTTCTTTTTCACCAACTTCAAGATCATATCGATGCAATTTCCCCTTGAACGCGCTTTCCGTTGGACAGCGGAAGATCTCGTCTCGGTGCCATATGAAACTGGCAATGCGTGCTTCTTCAGCAAATATTGTTGATAGGTTTGCGCTATGAGAAACATTGTATGGCAAAAGATACAATGACTATTGGAAGTCATGTCATGTGCCAGCTCGATGTGCTCTCAGGCTTCCGACAAACTTTTGAATGATTTGAGACTTTCATTGTAAACAGTTTGAGGAGTAGGGGGAGGAAGCATCTTGTGAATATTTTGCTCATTTCCTCTCAAGTGTTTTTTAGAGCTCCGCACTGCTATTTTTTCGCATTGCTGGCAAGGAACAAGTGTCGCAAAATTGCAAAAGAAATAAAGTTGTGCCTTGTTTGCTGAAGTTACTCGAGTAATTCAGGAAAGTTTCAAGGTTGAAGTAAAACTGATTATGATGAAGCAGAAACGAGAAGTGACTAGGACTAAAAACTGTGAGTTTTGCGATCCAGGACAAGTAGAAGTCATGAACGAGAGTTATACTTTGCCGTGAACTTGAGCAATAAGTATTTTATTTCCACAAACAGGGTTTGTTACAGTTTAAGCTTTAAGTGCCTATTCCATCACCTGGTTCAAGCGCAAGGGTTTTGTATATTGAAAAACTGATTCATTTAAAGCTTCAAACATATGCTGTTAATTTAAAGGGGTAGGGGTGTTAATTTAAATTGTTTCAAGGTTTAGCAACTTTTAGAGGACTGGTTTAGACTTTCAATTAAAAGTTCAGTACAAAATTATAAAATTTATAATTAGATTTGTTCAGATATAACCTAAAACTTTTTGTAACTAATTTTAAATGGGAAACAGTAATTTTTTAATGATTTCAAGCCCACTTCGTGTGTTGTTTAAATAAGCATAAATAAAAGTAGAAATATGAGAAAAAAGTGTTCAGAAATAAAAACCCTCAACTATTTAATTTAGTTGAAATATGAGATACTAATAAGAATGAAAAAATCTTGATAGTCGCAGATGCATGATAAGCATAGATTGTCTTTTGAATATGTTTGAAAGATATCGAAATCAAAGTTTCTTTCAGGTGATTCAGTGTACAGTAAAACATTTCATATAAGGTCCTTCGAATTTATACTTTGCCGTGAACTTGAGCAATAAGTATTTTATTTCCACAAACAGGGTTTGTTACAGTTTAAGCTTTAAGTGCCTATTCCATCACCTGGTTCAAGCGCAAGGGTTTTGTATATTGAAAAACTGATTCATTTAAAGCTTCAAACATATGCTGTTAATTTAAAGGGGTAGGGGTGTTAATTTAAATTGTTTCAAGGTTTAGCAACTTTTAGAGGACTGGTTTAGACTTTCAATTAAAAGTTCAGTACAAAATTATAAAATTTATAATTAGATTTGTTCAGATATAACCTAAAACTTTTTGTAACTAATTTTAAATGGGAAACAGTAATTTTTTAATGATTTCAAGCCCACTTCGTGTGTTGTTTAAATAAGCATAAATAAAAGTAGAAATATGAGAAAAAAGTGTTCAGAAATAAAAACCCTCAACTATTTAATTTAGTTGAAATATGAGATACTAATAAGAATGAAAAAATCTTGATAGTCGCAGATGCATGATAAGCATAGATTGTCTTTTGAATATGTTTGAAAGATATCGAAATCAAAGTTTCTTTCAGGTGATTCAGTGTACAGTAAAACATTTCATATAAGGTCCTTCGAATTTATAAGGAGTGGCCGTTCGGTTTGAGGGGCGATAGCCAACCCTTCTCATTTTGTAAAGACAAGTATTATCGAATAAGGTGATTGAGTTCTTAGAAGATCAGTTTTTTACGCGGCATTTCATTTTCTATTCGTGCTGATCACGCGTCTTTTTTTATTAGTCAGGATTTCAAAGTATTTTGCAATTCCAGTCATATTAAATTGAAATTTTGAACAGAAGGCGACCATCGCTCGAACGCATTAGTCGAAAAACTTGTACATACTGTAAATAATAAATTTTTAGCAGTGGCACACGAACATCAAAAACCTACTTTACAACACGCGATTTTCAAAATTGTTTGGAATCCTGATCATCCATCCAATCAAAAATCAAACGTTCACCTTTCGAAATAGATTTCAATATAAGACGAAATACGATCTGGAATCAGTTAGCCTGCAATAAAATATCCAATGGATTTTTAGACAAAGGAAAATCAATCCTAAGCAAAGGACGGGCACTTGATTAGAAGACGACCGGGTTGAAGACGGATATAAGGATACTACAAACCCCAAGAAGCATCACTTTCCAATGAAGAAAGGCTACGAAATGGACTACCCTTAACCATCGAAGCCATCGTCGTCGCGAATGCCACTGCATAGTCCTTTCACAGGTAACATACTTCGGAAAACTAAGGAGAGCATAAATGGAAATCCCTTTTATGGAAAACTTGGTCAGAAAATCATAAAACCAGATAAGAATACTTCGACGAAAACACTATCGGAAAATCCGACATCACCTTACCAAAATCAAAGTCGTCTAGTTTTCGTTCCTCTAGGGGAAATATCTCCTTTCCGTCACTTCCTACGTCCTTTTCGTTACTATTTTGAAGAAGGCTCAAACTGGACTACGAAAGCAAGACAGACAACTGTCACAAGACCAGGCCCCAAGACAAGACTTTATTCCGAGTTGGCTACTTCCGATAACGACACTAGGGTAGAAACAAACCTTCACGAAACAGGAAACAGACCACAAACACAGGTTCCTTAGCTTGCGATGAACCAATTCTAATTCCATCTGACACTTCAGATATTAGTGATTAAGATTAGATTGCGGGAGGTTTCCCTCGCAGAGATATGATTAATGAACGTTACATTTCTGATAATGTTAGAGAACCGGAGCCTATTATTCTTACCCTAGACTCACGTTTAGCTCGGGATGACATAGAAACTGAGATTTTAGATGGTCACGCTTCATCGTCGGAACCGCTTGATTGCCCAATCAGCATCCTATCTGCAGGGTGGAGTCGGACCCGACCTCCTACCATCGCGCAGTCTCCAACAACTACAGAGGCCAACAAACTGGACAATCCGCCGGATAGTAACGAGACCTCACAAAAGAGCGCGGCCTTAGACTTATCGATCTACAAGATCATTGCTTCTTCTGACGAAAATACTGCTGTTCAATAATTTACCACAAAACAACACCGGAAACGAGTGTAAACTTCATCGGTCGGGGCGAAATGTAGATCCTCCCCAGTTTTACGGTAAAAAGCTTTTTATAGACATTATAAATTAACGAAACAAACAGACCGGATCAGCAACAAACCCAATAATCCTCGATCATTATTCTCATCCGGAACAGATGGTCAAGTTTCGACCCAAACTTCGGATAAAAAAACCCCTGTTCTCTCGATCCACTCCAACGACGAAGCATCCAATTCATCGGACACCTATTCAGCGGACTTACTATCCCTCTCTTTGACCAACCAATCATTGAAAATAGCTATGGACGACATCAACAAAATCTAATTTAATGTAGCACTTAGATGCTTTATTCCGTCGGATTTCCTTCGCCAACTCAGTTACAGTAGTAACTTAGTTAAACTGCTTATTCTAGCAAATTTTAGTTTTGACGAATTCTCATAGTGCCTAACTTGGTGCATATTTAATGAAGTTAGTTAAAACTTGCGTCAGCCTCCTCTAAGGGGAGAAAAGGGTCAGTTACATTTTAACTCGTATTTATTTTTTTCACTAGCAGGGGAATGTTTTGCATTGCAGTATCTGACCATTTTTAATTAATTGCAATTTTTTTTAACTGGTACTGATGTTATAACCTTGATGTATTCATTCTCTCCGGCGGAAAGAATGATCGCTCACTTTTTATTGTTTTAACTTTGAGATTAATTCACTTTTTACCTTCAACTTCTTATCTGTACGTAAGTAGAATTAGCTACAACAATGTAATATTTTATCACTAGCAAAATGAAAAACACGAGCTTAAGATTAATTTTTTGAATTAAGAGAATCAAAAAGCGAGCAGAAGAAGCCAAAAAAAGTCCGGTATAGAAGTTTAAAATAGGTGCTACTCACGAAATTGGATTTTTTTGGCAGTGGTTTAATAAATTTAAATGCATAAACAGAAAAGTTGATTCGAAAAAAAGTTGACGCTGAAAAAAAGCTCTTGGCTTTTAAATTATCGCAAGTACAAGGTTCAAACTTTCAACACTCTCTTTTTCTTCACCCCCTCCCCACCCCACCTGCATTTTTTTTACTGACTATTTTTTGTTCAGATTGTCCGATTGTTACAAAAATTGGCATGCAAACATGTTTGGTCTTTATACTCAGCCTTGTAAACCATTCGTTTCACTATAGATGCTATTGTGAGCTATGGTGAGGAAATATAAAAAGAGCCAAATTTTTATATTAGTTATATTCTTCTTTTTAATATAATAAACCCGATGAATTAAAAATCTATAGAAAAAATTAATTAGCTCGAATTGTGTTTTTGATCCAGTCTCTCAATGGTAATATCTTAGTAAAAACATTAACGCGTGAACATAAGTGACCCATTCCGACGTTCGATCCAGTCCAGTGACTGGCTACCCCGAATAGACATTGGGGTTTGGTTTGACCACAACTCATCACATAGAGGGGGCTTCCCTGGTCATACACACAGATGCTGCTGCCAGACAAGAACGAAATGAGACACAACTGGTTCTCGGGACATCCGGCGGAGTTGCTTCCATGATCGTAAAGCACCTCCTAAACATAAATGCGGCTCACCATTTCAGCCCTTGCACTTTTGGCCCCTCTTTAATTTAAGTGCAGGTTGAACCCCCCCCCCTCTCCTAACCCCTCTGCTTCGCATTTTATACACAAATTTGTGTGCTAGACTTTAGAGGTGAATAGTGTGTCAACTATTTTAAACAACTTATAACTGATCCGCCGAAGTAGATGATTTTTGCATAGCTTTGAGCTAACTGAGCGATCTAGATATTTCACTTGACTCGTATTCCGACCACTGAATTATTATTCCGACCACTGAAAATGGGAAGAAACTTTGTCTTCGGGCGTTTTTTATTTTTTAGGAGAGAAGATGATTGATTAAGAGGTACGCGTTTATCCGTATGGAAAGACATCATTTATGTGTGAAGTGCTGAAACCTTTTTCCCCAAACATGACTCAAAAAATTTGCGCAAAACAAAAAAAAATCATGATCACCCATTGTTAACATCAGTTTTTTCCTCATAAAACTTTATCAAATCTTTCAGGATTATATCCTTACCATCACCAAGTTATACTAATTTATACTAATTTCGCTAAGTTATACTAATTTCGAGAGGGGAACGCCTTACAAAATTACCATTATTTGGTAAAGTCAACTTCGAAGGCAAGAATAGCGTACACAAAATTTAGAAGCCAAAAGAGAGATTAAGGGTGAGTCGTCAAAGATACCTGCAGTTTAGAAGGTTGATTGATCGTGTAACTAGAATCGGAGCCCATCCCGCATGACCCCAGCACTGCTAGGTCCTCCGGCTCTCTCTTGCACATCGGCAGGAACTTATGTCCGCTTCTAAGTGACCGCATGCTCTTTTTAGTCTTAAGAAGAGCAATGTCATTGTTGTAAGTCAACATGTCGAATCTAAACACTAAATTACTTGGGCGAAAGTTACCCTTCCCAGTTTTACAATGCAGTTGTTTTCTTTTCTTTTTGCCTGGAGCGTTGAAGCTTTTAAGGCGTTGAATACAAAGTTTTCAACGCGTTAAAGTTGACCTCGTTTTCAAAAACAAGAAAAAACGAAGTACCTACATGGCAAGGTAAATACTTATGAAAAAAAAATAAATAAAGTTCAAACGGCGCAAAACGTTCCGACCGCAGTCAATTTGCAAAACAAACCTAATCAATACACAAACTGGAACCGTCATATCTATTTACCCCTTCTGAATTATGATTTTTCAGCGCACACTTAACATTCGGTTTCTTTGATCGTTTATGTTGCAAAAAAAAGTAAAATTTATGGCACGAGGTTATAACAATGCATTAACGGACATTAAAATAATCAATTATGCTGTATCACAAGGATTATTTCTGAGTTTTTTGTTGTTTTTTGCTATCTATAATTGTCTGTACGCATAATAAAAAAAGTTCTGTGTGCTGATGAATGCGCATGGTATACAACAACTAATACTAGAAATCAGCAGCAGGTAAACTTTGATATAGGCAATTTCGAAAACTATTTTTTTGGAGAATAAGGATAAAACAGCCACCATAGAAATTAAAAGGAATAATTTTTTTAGCATTAGATCCCAAAACAACACTTAGGTCTAATATTTGAAGAAAAAACTAAATTTCAAAACACGCACCGATAACATTTTGAAAAAGGAAGCTAAGTCTTGCTCGATTATCTATCATCTCAGATAACATTTTAAAACCTCTGAACTTCTAAAATATACATCAAATATAATCAACCAATATATCAATACAAATCACTAACCTATGGCACAGCTAATATGACGGACTTAAAAGACTGGAAAGCCAGCAATAACTCGTTTGAAAGAATTTTTCAATTGAAAACGGGAGAGTGTGAAACATATTCGAAACAAATAAAAACTATGTCTGGTTCGAGAGTTACATGTATTTGAACTTTTTAAATTCGTGGTTAGAAATGCACGATAATTTTTTGGAAATAAAAAACTTCATAAAAACATTAGGGAACAGGAGATAACAGATAATATCAACACAAGCAAAACAAGAAAAAAATTTCGCAGCCGAAAAAGGCTTGCTACAGAAAAAAATGGAAAATAGGGTTCGTGTTTTTATATAATAGGTTTTTACAATTGATTTTTTAAAAATTTTTTTGAAGCGTTCACAATTATCAAATACATATTTTTCATACAACAAAAGACATCAATATTTATGACTACGATCAAATTTTATTTATATTATGGTAGATTTCCATCCCTTTGTTATAGTTTTTTCGGTCATCTTAGTTAGCGTTTTGCGTTGAATCTCAGTTTTTTTTGTAGCTTTTAAAATTATAAGAAATTTTGCAGTCTTTTTTTAAAGCTGTACATAAGATCTATGTTTTTAAAATAGGCCAAACTTTATTGCTCATGAAGATACCACCCGACAGACTAAGACGTTTTTGGTTTTTTCCTGAGCCAAACCAAATTTTAAAAGTTTTTGGCTTGAAAATAAAATTAATATTCTGACTATAAATAACATGTTCCGAAATATAAATGTCATTGAAAAACCTTCCTTTATTAAGAAAAACGTTTTTTTATAGACATTTTACCGTCCCATTTTTATTTTTTTGCGATTTATGTTTCGACCAACTCGACCAAAAAATGGTATGTTTCGACCGCCTCGAACCACAATCGATATGTTTCGAGACTACTCAAACTGTCTTTGTTTCGATGGTGTTCGTCAGAGGAAGTAGTTTTCGATCACGTTCGACCAAGGGAAAATTTTTAAAAGAGTCCCACCGACGTATGTAAGGATGTATGTATGTATGTATGCATGTATGTATGTATGTATATATGTGTGTATGTATGTATGTATGTATGTATGTATGTATGTATGTATGTATGTATGTATGTATGTATGTATGTATGTATGTATGTATGTATGTATGTATGTATGTATGTATGTATGTATGTATGTATGTATGTATGTATGTATGTATGTATGTATGTATGTATGTATGTATGTATGTATGTATGTATGTATGTATGTATGTATGTATGTATGTATGTATGTATGTATGTATGTATGTATGTATGTATGTATGTATGTATGTATGTATGTATGTATGTATGTATGTATGTATGTATGTATGTATGTATGTATGTATGTAAGTATGTATGTATGTATGTATGTATGTATGTATGTATGCATGCATGCATGTATATATGTATGTATGTGTGTATGTATGTATGTATGTATGTATGTATGTATGTATGTGTGTATGTATGTATGTATGTATGTATGTATGTATGTATGTATGTATGTATGTATGTATGTATGTATGTATGTATGTATGTATGTATGTATGTATGTATGTATGTAAGTATCTATGTATGTACGTATGAATGTATGTATGTATGTATGTATTTATATATGTATGTACGTCTGTATGTATATATGTATGTATGGGCGCTTTCGTTGCATCAGTTCTTGCAAAAAGTTGGCAGAAAGTTTAGAGTTTGCTTTGATCAAGCTGTAGTAGAAACAGCAGCAGGAACAACCGAGATGGTTTGGTTTTGCGAAAACTGCTTCCGCGCAAATAACAATGATGATGAGACCCCAAAGGAGAAAATCTCTCTGACGCATACAAATGACACTATTAGAAAAGTCACAGGTGAACCAATTCTTGTTTTTGATCCCGCTACTTCTCTTCAACCAAATCGATATTTCAGTGTAAAGAAAACTCAAACCGAATTTTGCAAGTCTTGTATTTGAATATAAACGTATCTAAGAAAAAAAAGGGTAGTTTGTTATTAAAATCAAACTAATAACTAGCAAAACTATAAATATTTATAGAAGCTGTGCTCTAACTTAGTACAAGTTTTATGTAAAGCACTGCATATAGAAACTTTCAGATTGCTTTTAGTTATGAGCAACTTAAAGAGGCCATGGAAATTAAAAAGGCGCAATGGCTGATGAATCAGTGTCCTGAAAATTGGCCCAACAAAAGTGGCAGCAGACCTTTTGTACAGAAAATTGATTGAAAGTCAGGGCATGCCCATGGTCAGTGAGAGAAGTTCTTCAACGCCACCACAAAAAAAATGTGACTTTCAATCCTCTCTATATAACTTTCATTTCCCAAACGAAAAACTTACTCCGTGTGTCACTAAAAAGTTTTGCTGAACATTTTTTTTGCCTTAGAGTCAATTCGTGGAAGTGGTACCAAATCTTCTATTTCAAAATCGAAAAAAAAAGACGGTTTCCATTCTCTGCTCCGACGAAAGTGCAGTTTCTTATAAGATTTATTGCGATGATAAGTTGACAAGTCAAAACGTAAAGTGAGTACCTCGACCCGGGGAGGAAGTAGCAACTTGGCATAATATGCAGAAAGCGTAAGAGGAAGTGTTTGTCAATAACCACAAACTGATAACGAACTAAGAGATTTAAAAAAAGTAGCGCATGATATGAAGGAAAAACTTAGAAATACGTAACAATATCTAATGGAAACTGCCTTTTCAGAGAACTCCTGTTAATGTTCTTTTGAAAAGTATTTTTTGTTCAATTGTTAAAGAAATTTTTCAAGGTTGATCTAAAATTAAGGTTTTACATCAGAAAAAATGACAATGCGTCATTTTTTGGCAGACTACAAAAAGTTTCCCCAGAAATTTATGCCTAGTAATTTTCTTAGTTTTGTTTTCGATAACAAAAACATTGCCTACTAAGTGTGAAAACCAAAGCTTGGAAAACCAAATAAAAAATTGGTCTGAGGATTTCTATGAATAGAAAGTAACCGCCGTTAGAATGAAATTGAGAATTGCGATAGCAACTCAGGATTGCCAACATTGCAAAACCTCGATTTAAAAATGATAAAGAAACGAGAAAGACAAAAGTTTGCTTACATTGCATAAACCCCTATAGAACTGATAATGAAAAAAATGAAAAATTAAAAAGTTATCAAAAGCAAACAAATTACTGCGGTGTTAAGATACCTAGAACATATCAAAAACAATACGGCTAGTTTGTCGCCTGATCAAAAAAGTATGCAACGGAGGAAACAGAATAAGAAGTGAAAAAACTGAGATTCACAGCCATGCAAAGTTAGTTTGTTTGTCAAAAAAGTTATGTGAGAGTTGATAATTTTCAAGCTGATCTCATTAAATGTTTTATTTCATTTTTTCCAAAACCAAAATTGAGGCTATACGATTTTTCGAAGCCAATTTGCAATGGATGAAAACATATTAGATATTTGAATTCTGAGGTTGTTCATAGGTTTCTGCAAAATGGCAACAACATGGATCTGACAAAAAAACTTAGATTTTTTTGATGTTTTTCAAATTTCAAATCATGAGTTTCTTCTCAGTAAAACTTGATTACAAAAAGACAAAATTACTAACTGCTTCTATAGTTTTCAATATTTAGGTTAAGGTTTTAAAATTTGGGATAAGTAACGAAGGCAGGAGACTCATTTTCACGCTTCCCGTGGTTTTGCGGGTCATGCACAAAGTGCTTTATGTTGTCTGCATAGTCAGATATCGCCTTTTGCTTTTTGAGTTAGGACTGGGGTGTATAACTCATAGAGTAATTTCGGATAGGGTACACCGTCTGCTCGTCACGCTATCTTATTTTCGGCCGGATAGATTCGTGCAACTTCTTAGTCTAATACCGATCCTAATCTTACTCTTATACTATCTAGTCTCAGGTTGTTTAACTAGTCTCTGCTAGGCTCAATAGATCTAGGGTATACTGGTTTATTGCGGCTGCTGAAGTGCTCGGGAGAGTCCAACTAATTTCTAAGTTAAATTCAAATCTCTCTGGTGCTGAAATTACAAGTAACTTCAGCACTTACAAATAAGTGGGTTGTTAGTTAGATGGATCATGATTGGTTAATATTAAATACTTTACATTGGTAAAACATTTAATTTATCCAATCATAAAATATAGTTTAGATCAGGTTCCACCCATCCGGGTTTTACAGAGTTTTTTAGAACAGTTCTTCTGTAATTCAAGGATGGATGATGGACGTTGGTATTTGGCGAACATCATATTTTTCTTCCGCTTCTTCTTGTGACAACGACTGGGTCTTTGCAACAAAATCAATTCTGATTTCAGAATGGTTGGCTATGTCAGGTTTTTCTGTTCTTCGTGGAGAACTTCTTTTGTGTCTGATCTTAGTTTGGGAATGGCGTGGAGATTGTGCGTGGAGGGGATGCCTGGTTACTCGGATCTGTACGTACACTTGGGTCATCGAGGTGGTCATTGGTCTGGTTCAATGAAGTCCTTTTCTGCGAGGTCAAGTCGTACTCTAAATCCTTTGAGTTGTGATTGTGAGCGGCATATCGATTGTAGTTGGTCATTCTCTCTCGAGTGTAGTGAGGTCGTCTTGTCTTTTGATGTTCGTCCTTGGTGTTGTATTCTGATCTATATATTGCATCATGTGATTTTACATTTTATAAAACTTTTATTAGTTTAATATTTTTTAATAATGATTTTAGTTAGTTGTTTTCACAAAAGCTTTTTGTTTTAGTTCGGTTATTTTGAAGAGTTACTCACCCTTGAGTAGCTCTTATTAAAAATAAAGGTGTGGTCACAAAGCGTGGATGTAGCGCGGTGGGTTAGGCCGGCTATAGAGCATGCTCAGGACGTCCTTCCTGGTGGGTTAGGCCAGGTGTGGGAGTATGATTTCATGCGGTTTTTGTGAGGGGTCCTGTTATGTGACAACGTTTTATGTTGGGTTTGTTGTGGTTTTACTTGTGTCTTGTTGGTTATGTACTTTTTCCAAAAAGCAAATTGTTTGTGGTATGGGTTTGTCTTTCGACTTTTTTGTGTTTTATTATCTCTTTCTAAGACTTTGTAATAGTCTTCAAAAGAATAAATTATCCAGTTTTAAACTGGGTTAATCCGGTTTGGGTACCGTTGGTTTCCTTTTCTTAGTCATGCTGTTATTCTATGATTTGTGGTATTTAGTAAGCTGCGTTGGTTAGTTTTGTTTAGTATATGATTCCTTTCCAACCGGGTTAAAGGAAAGTTTGAAACATGTTATTATATGTTAGAGTTGTTGAGTGTGAAAACTTGAAACTGAAATTCATTATTTTAAACAATTCTTCGTGGGCGAGCTGTGCGAGTGTGGATAGAATTTCTGTGCGAATGAATGAAAATATCAAAAGGTTAGTACTGCAATTGCATTTTATTAATTTACTGCATAGAATTTGGAAATTTACAGCTAGTTATGGGGGAATTTTAAGATACAAATTTTCATTATAATTAGATTTACTGCTTTTTGGGGGAAAATTTTATAAATTAATTTACTAATTAATAAGTGGGTTTTTAGTTAGATGGATCATGATTGGTTAATATTAAATACTTTACATTGGTAAAACATTTAATTTATCCAATCATAAAATATAGTTTAGATCAGGTTCCATTTTCTATAACTTTTTTGAGCGCTAATCTGGAAACATATAGTGGCATGCATTTCTCTGCTTGCCCGTTTTAATTTCATTTGAGATACTGCTGAACGTCCAATAAACCAAACAGAACTCAGAAATAAATAGAAATACCATTCTTGTTTCTTGATTTTTTTTCTTCAAAAAACAGCGAGCGCGAAGGAAAAGAATTATTTTCGTCTATTTTTTGTTGCTTTATTTGGTTCCTGGTTCTTTTGTTTGTTTATTTTTTTCAAAAGTTTTGTTTTATCAGATTAAAAGAAACAAGTTCATGAATTTGCTCCGCTATTTTGGTGTATCATATAAAAAAACTAAGGTCAAGTTATAATTTGATTTTTTGAAATGAAAGAAATTGTCTTGTGATTGCTTTTGTGCCATACTTCATGACTATTTAGGCTAAAAGTTATACTTTTGTCAACTAGGTTTTAAAAACGTTCGGCAAATTTCTGTTTAACGGCTAGATCAGTTTTTCTACAAAACTGAACGATAAAAGAAAAAAACCCTCAAAATTTGGTTAAAAAAACAAAAGTTCATATTTTATACTACAAAACCCGAATAACCAAACAAGGCAAAAGCTATCAAAGCTACAGACAGGAAAACAAAAAATCTAACAAAAATCTTTTAGAAGCCGAAAAATTGTTGAAACAACATTTCAATTTAGTTAACAATACCAAGTAACAAAAAATTTATTGTACATAAAACATTTTTCTGTGTGATCGTCGATTTGTGTAACATTTTCGTTGAGTCCCCCTCTTACTAGAAGTATGGCCATTTATTGTAAGTTAATATAAGTTACACAAATTTAATTGTTGAGTGTGGAGAAAACCAACTAAAATATCAGCATGTCAAAAAAGAGCAGAGTTAACAAACCAGTCGAAAGTTACGTCATTTCAGTATAAGTTTGCAAAAATTTCGTTAACCTGCTCTTGGCTCCCGAATGAAGTTAAGATTGGCTTGTTACGAAGCTTAGAGCTATCAGAAAAATGAAAAAAAAACTGAATAATGTGTTTGACTTATTCGTGATGATTTTTAAACTGAGATCCTCTCGCTTCCTCAAAAAAATGTTTTTCAATTTTTTCTAATATTTGAAATGCGCAAAACAATTGACATCTGCACCAAACCAATCCAGTTTTTCTACAAATTATGCGACAGATAATCTGCGTAAATTTTTTTTTTATGAAAACGTTTACAACAATTTTAAGAAAACGTTCAGGATTGGTTGACCGAAATTGGATGTGTTCAAAAAAAATTTCAAATGACAGTGCTTTCAAAAATAGTCCAAATAATGACCGTTTTTATTAAGAATAACTGTCATTAAAAATAAATGCTTACCCGTCTGCGTAAATAACCTTCTTTACTTCATAGAATTGCTTAGCAGATTGTTTGGTGAAGTCTCCGGCCTGAATATGTGTTGTGTCAGCTGAAACACGAAAGAAATAATTTTGATCCTTTTTAGGTTTTGGCCCAAAAATGCGTCTTTGGTGCTCACTTATCCGGCACTAGAGAAAACTTTAGCGAAGTATTATGCTTCGGCGGCCGGATATGAATTCTGTAAAATAGCGACAATGATAGACCCTTGGCAAGGAAGTAGTTTTCTTGAGGACAGCAAGTCTTACTGAACCACTCTTAAAATCACTTCTGCTTGTGGTGCAAAACTTCTGCCTAACACTAAGTCTTACCAACCCAACCCTAAAATCACTTCTGCCTGTGATGCAGAACTTGTGGCTAAAAGCAAGTCTTACTACCCCAACCTAAAATCACTTCTGCCTGTGATGCAGAACTTGTGGCTAAAAGCAAGTCTTACTACCCCAACCTAAAATCACTTCTGCCTGTGATGCAGAACTTGTGGCTAAAAGCAAGTCTTACTACCCCTCACCTAAATTCACATCTGCTTGTGGTGCAAAACTTGTGGCTAAAAGCAAGTTCTATTACCTCAATCATAAATTCACTTCTGCTTGTGGTGCAAAACTTGTGGCTAACACAAAGTCTTACTATCTGAACCCTACAGTCACTTCTGCTTGTGATGCAGAACTTGTGGCTAAAAGCAAGTCTTACTACCCCAACCTAAAATCACTTCTGCCTGTGATGCAGAATTTGTGGCTAAAAGCAAGTCTTACTGCCCCTCACCTAAATTCACATCTGCTTGTGGTGCAAAACTTGTGGCTAAAAGCAAGTTCTATTACCTCAATCATAAATTCACTTCTGCTTGTGGTGCAAAACTTGTGGCTAACACAAAGTCTTAATATCTGAACCCTACAGTCATTTCTGCTTGTGACGCAGAACTTGTGGCTAAAAACAAGTCTTACTACCCCAACCCTAAAATCACTTCTGCCTGTGATGCAGAATTTGTGGCTAAAAGCAAGTCTTACTAATCCAACCCTAAAATCACTTTTGCCTGTGATGCAGAACTTGTGGTTAAAAGCAAATCTTAAAACCCCACCTAAATTCACACCTGCTTGTGGTGCAAAACTTGTGGCTAACACAAAGTCTTACTATCTGAACCCTACAGTCACTTCTGGTTGTGATGCAGAAATTATGGCTAAAAACAAGTCTTACTACCCCAACCCTAAAATCACTTCTGCTTGTGATGCAGAACTTGTGGCTAAAAGCAAGTCCTACTACCCCAACCCTAAAATCACTTCTGCCTGTGATGCAGAACTTGTGGTTAAAAGCAAATCTTATAACCCCTCACCTAAATTCACACCTGCTTGTGGTCCAAAACTTGTGGCTAAAAGCAAGTTTTTTTACCTCAATCATAAATTCACTTCTGCTTGTGGTGCAAAACTTGTGGCTAACACAAAGTCTTACTATCTGAACCCTACAGTCACTTCTGATTGTGATGCAGAAATTGTGGCTAAAAACAAGTCTTACTACCCCAATCCTAAAATCACTTCTGCCTGTGATGCAGAACTTGTGGTTAAAAGCAAATCTTATAACCCCTCACCTAAATTCACACCTGCTTGTGGTCCAAAACTTGTGGCTAAAAGCAAGTTCTATTACCTCAATCATAAATTCATTTCTGCTTGTTGTGCAAAACTTGTTGCTAAAAGCAAGCCTTACAAACCCACTCCTTATTTCAATTCCTCTTGTGGTGCAAAATAAATATTGAAAACTAAGTATCGAAAAACCAAAAATTAACTAGAGGTTCAAGAACGAAGTCAGAATAATTCAAACTGGGAATCACATTAGAATAGAACCCAAACCCAACTAATTTGATTAATTGAAGCGCAAAAAGGATGCAAAAGTTTTCAAATTGACAGTACCATTTCAGTCAAAAGCAAAGACGACAAGTTATTAAATTAGTAAAAGCCATCAATAACAAAATTGTGAGAAACCATACCTCGCTAAAAACAATTTACCTCGTGGGTCAAGTTAACAAGTCACACGTCTGATGAGAATGACACAGCACAATCAAACTAAGTTTTTTGAGAGCAGAGACCGGCAATGTTAAAATAATTCGATAGAAATTCTGCAAAAAACATGGCTCACCAAAATACTCCTTCCTGAAAAACCTAAGAAGACCTTATTTTGGGGAAAAATCTAGTACCAGAGACAATTTTTTCAGAAAATGAAACAAAACACCGTTTTGAGCCTTATGGGTAGGCCGAAAATTGGTGTCATTTGATGACGTCAAAATTGTGTTTTTGAGAGGTTAGATGTCAGTTATCGAGATTGTGGAATGAAAGCATTTTGAACTTGACTGTCATCAGGGGCGGATTTAGAGGGGTCCCCCCTTTGATACTTTTTCAGAAATCCATTTTTGGCCGACCGACCCTAAAATTTTTCTAAAGGCGCCTTAGGCGCCAATATATACTCACTTTGAGGGGGAGCGCGCGCCAAAAAAACGCTATTTTTTTGTCAAAATTTTTCAAAAAGTGCCCAAAAACGGCTTTTTTGACTGTTTTTTCAAAAATATGCCTGCGGCGCAGAAAACTTTGCCAAAATAGGGGCAAAACAGTGCTTTGGGAGAGTTCGAAAAATCAATTTGGTGGACCTAAAAAAAAAGGTCGTCAAAATTTTGGAAAATTTTTTGAAAATCCGCCCCCCCCCCCTCGAGAAAATCCTAGATCCGCCCCTGACTGTCATCAAAAAAATAACAGTCATCTGTTCATGAAAGCATTTTGATTTTGACTGTTATCAAAAAATAATGAGAAAACTAAAACTCGAGATAAAAATGATCTTGATAATCCTAATCAAAGCACAAATCAAAACAAGATCGATGATAATAATCATAACAAAGATCGCTGTGCAAGTAGCGCAGAATCTTCCCACCGTATTCTTAAAAAGCCATAAAAAAGTTCAAATAGTGTTCTGTTTCTGCGTAGTGTGATGAAAGGATCTGAAAAAAAAACACTGAAATTTAGCTCAGGCGCGGATCTAGGAATTTCTCGAAGGGGGGGGGGTAGATTTTCAAAAAAAATTGAAAATTTTGTCGACCTTTTTTTTAGGTCGACCAAATTGATTTTCTGAGCTCTCCCAACCACTATAAAGACCCTGTTTTGGCCAAAATTTCTGCGGCGCAGGCAAAACTTTGAAAAACAGGCCAAAAATACCGTTGTTAGGCACTTTTTGGAAAACTTCGACCAAAAAATCGCGTTTTTTCGCCGCTCGCTCCCCCCTCAAAATTAGCGTAGATTGGCGTCAAAGGCGTCTTTAGGAAAATTTTAAGGCCAGGAAAATGGATATCTCAAAACAGTACAAAGGGGGGACCCTTTAGGTCGGCAGGAGGTCGAATCCCTATGGAATTAGCTACTGATTTAGCTATATTTGACTGACAGTAAAATAAGCAAATCAGGTAAAAGTTTTTTTTGTCAAAAATTGACTAGTAAAAAAACAACAGTCATAAAAAATTCAATTTTTTTTCCAATTTTTTTTGTAGAATGTGTTTTGCATTTTAAAATTTTTTCATTCCAAAATGGCGCTAAACTCTTATTTATTTTTGACGTTTTATCTTTCAATAAAATGCCTGCTCAAAATAAGACTAAAACTCAAAAGTTTCACACTGAATTTTCTCGACAATGGGACACCTTAACGAAAACTTTTACAATACGATTGGGTCAGTCTTTAATGTTATTTATCACTCGACCCATTCCGATGATTTTTATGGTGCCCCCCATTTTATTTGCTTAATATTTGCAAAATGATTTTGATATCAAATCGAGCTGCTGGTGTTGAGCAAAAAAATATGTGTAACTTTTAACTGTTTTTAGGGTTCCTTTACTACGGTTGATTTATTTTCGCTGTTTTTTGAAAAACATTCATTAGAAGATACACTCCCATAACTAAAGACTTCATTCAAGTGCTTTAAGTGTGTTAGCAGAATTTGACTTGACTTAGAACTGGATGGATAATGCCATTTTTGAAATTACCGCGAACAGCTCAGATCTGTTCAGTTCGAGATATTAAATCAAGATGCATCACCACCGACTACTGATTGAGAACCAACAAACCAAGCCAAACCAGAAAAAGTGGATCCAAACGAGCCAGCGATAGTTAACAACCAAAAATTACGGCTAAAAAAAAACGAGACTCAATGGGAAAAAAGCGTGTAACAGAGGTAATCATGCCGTACCCATTGTAAACATCCACACAGTGATGCTAGTTATCTGCAATTTTATCCTATTGTATGACTGCATCCGGTTTGGAGGAAAACTATTTTACTGACAAAAAAACTGCCTTCAACTTTCAATTGCCTGGGTGAAACCTATTAACGTTCAGAAGATCGACTTCCAGCTATCTCAACGAGGAGAGAAGACGACCATATACCCCGGGTCGAGGCCGTGGTTTTATATTCAGGCTTTATAAGTCTGAATCGATCCGCCTTGGTACATGATGTAAATCCTGAACATAAGTCTGAAGATAAGTACCAAAAAATTGCAATCAAAATGAAACTAAACTGATTGATCTACTTTAGTCTTGACGCAGTTTATATCATTAAGGAAAAATTAAAGCAATTTTGAGCTTGTGGAAAAATACTTGGAGAAAATCAAATTCAAACAATTCTGCAATCAAATGGGTTGGAGAAAATTGTGAATATCATTTTGACTCACTTTGAATAGCCGTGTCAAAAACTTGAGGTTACAAAAATCATCCGTGCAGTTTTTTGAATTTGCGAGGCTTTAAGAGCTTTACAATTAATTGTTTGATCAAGATTCGACTTATGATCATTTTTGGTTGAATTTCACTTTTTTCACAAACATTTTTCATAAGTAAACAAAAGCTAGATAAATGTGATAAAATGTATTTTTGAAAAACTTAAGATCTTTTGAAACAATTTGAATTGTTTGCATCAGCTCAAAAGTAGAAACTTTTTTTTTGTGATCACAATTTCCTTTGATTGTCTGAAAATTTTTTTTGCATAATCATAAATGTCTGTTTTTTTCTTTCTAGTCGTGTATTCATGCAGTTTTGAGTGTTCGGAGTACGGGAACAGTTTTAGGATTTATGCATGAAGGTTGGGAGTATCTATTTATCAAAACTATGGTCACTCTGCCGAGACAAATCAGGCCAACTGTTTTTTTTATCTAATACACAAGACATTACGAGGCCAAACTGTGAATTCTGTGCATTGTAAACGGATTTCGCAACACGCCAAAATTTAAATTTGTCGCGGAACCCGCAACATTGCTAGTTTTTCTTGATCTTCTGTGCTGTTTTGGATTCCACAAATAAATTTTTAAAACATTGTACAGCTCAAAGTCGCTCCAAAAATAGGAAAAAATTGCGGAATCCAGAACACATAATAAGACATGTGCATAGTTACATTGAGCTGTTGGGGAATCTGCAAACTGTAAGTGGAATCCGCAAATTGTAAATGGAAACCGCCAATTGTAAGTGGAATCCGCATTTTGTTTGCAGATTCCACTTATATTTGCGGATTCCACTTACATTTTGCGGATTCCACTAACATTTTGCGAAAGTCTCCTGCAGTTGGGGAATTCAAAACAACTAGCTATATTTGCTTGTTGCGGAACCCGCCACAAAACAAATGGGCCGATAAAATTTACGTTACAGCTATTTGTACGCAGAATCCACGAAACTTTTGAAAGTGGAATCCACTTACTTTTTGAAACATGTTTAAAGGTTTGTCTCTGGAATCCAGGAACATACTGACACAAAATTGTGCGCCTATCCAGTGCACAGTTTGGCCTCGCAATGGAAAAAAGGCATAAAAAACTTAATTTGCCAAAGAAAAAAATAGACAGGCGAGGAAGTTGTTCAAGTTTGAGCGGGTGAAGCATGGAGTAGAGCTCACAGGAAGCTAGCTTGATGGACGCGCCGCCTCAAAATTGTTTTTTAAATGATATTTACTTCATACAAACTGTGGTGAATTTAGTTTTAAGCGAAGGCTCTACAGCTCTGAAAGAGTTCTAGTTAGTTGTTTGAAACTTGCCACATCTAAATTAACTTAGAGCAACCAGTGTTGTAAGGATATGAGACCGAAAAAACCAAGCCAATTTTTTCAAAAAAAAAGATCCTGAAGCACTGATAATCCACGACTCGTTGAAGAATAAAACTCAGTTTTTGATGTAAATTTTTTTAATTTTTTTTTGTCTCATCTTTTTTCTAAAAATAAAGAGAATTTTGAACTACAAAAATTTCATCTATTTTTTGATTGATACAATATTTGGTTTTCAAAATTGGCCAACAGAGTTTTTTTTACAATTAAACTCAAAGTCCGACTGTGGCTTTTTGTGCGTGTTGTTTTTGCATTTTGTCTTTCGCAGTGTCAAAAAATCGGGGTTAAGCCCATTGGACTGATTTACTTTTTCTTGGAGCAGTAAAACTCACAGAGTCAATTTACGGCATTAAGCAAAAATTAAAGTACTTTTGAGCATGCGGAGCAATCCCATGAGAAAGTAGTTGGAGCAAATAAAAGGAATTTGCAATCAAAGAGCTTAAAAGAATTTTGATTGCCGGTACCTTGTTATGAAATATTGTCCCAAATAATGACATTTCACTCTTCTCATCATCATCGCAAGGTCAAAAAATATTTTGAGAGCAAAAAATATCAATCATGCATGTTTTTTTAAACTTTTTAAGAGCTTTAAATTCAGTTTTTATTTCAAAAAATATGACTTATTATCTTTTTTCTGGCGTTGACTGCACGTTTCAAAAAATTTTCGTTAAAAGTTACAAAAGACGTAAAAAAATTTGGAAAATAAACATCTTTAATTAGCTTGAGTCAGACAGTTTAATTAAAGCGTCTTTTAATTGTTTTCAGCAGCTCGCTGCAAGCTTAAAAATGACCTCAAAATTTTTTTCTGAAAAAAAAAGTTCTGAACGAAAAAATTTGTTCTTTCTTTTCAATTGTTTTTATTCTTAATTTCTCCAGTTTTTAGCGAAATTTGAAAACTTACATACGAAATTGAAAACTTACATACTCATTGATTTAGATTTCAAGTGCATCGTTTAATGGAAGTTTTTATGATTCAACTAATCGTAAAAATCATGTCTCAGGTAATTTACGGAGAAAACAAATTTTCATAAAAAAGACATTTAATCATTGAGTATTCCTATTTTAGAAAAAAAATTGTGTCGTAAGAAGAAAACTTTGTGTGGTTTTCTTCTATGTTTTAAATATATTAAGAAAGGAAGTAAAAAGCGACATGGATGATAAATCTGAGTTTTTGTTATCTGCGTTCAGCTTAATTTGCATCCTACAACTAATTGATGTCAGTAGTAATGCAAATTTCCTGAGAGTACCGGAAATAATGGAGAACGCAGAAGGTAATGAAAGATGACTTGAGCCTGCTCCAAAATTTTGGGTACCCTCTGGGTCTCAACTGAATGTTTTTCTGGTTTTGATTTCTTGTCATTTGTTAGTTTTGGATGCGCTAAGGGCATCGCATTAAATTTTGATCGTTTTCAATTGCGCCTTGTAAGCAAAAATGGTATAATATGACTGTAGAACTTGGATTTTAGCTGCAATTTTTGTGTAGTTAAGTGCTACCGAGCGTGTTTTGATCAATTAGACGCCAATAGTAGACTTTTTTGTGTGGTTTCAACCGTCTTCGCTTAAACCGGTTCTATTCGTGCGCTCATAAAAGTCATTTTTAGGAACTTTTATCGTCTTAGATTGGAGTTTGACCACAGCGTAGGTAATTTTTCACCACTCAGTGTCGGATAAAATTAGCAGTAATAACCAAGTTTTATGTCGAAGCTAGCCCCATCCCCCAATAGAAAGTAAGCAGCCCATACTTCATTGTAAAATTTTTCATAAATCAGATGAAATTTTTTTGCGCCTTTTTGACAAAAAATCAACAGGTTTTTTTGTCAAAAAGAAAGATTTCCGACACCCAGCCTTCCAGTACTCATTTCCAATACCCAACGTCGGAATGGCTGCTCATCGTCAATCAAAATTCAGCTTTTCAAACAAGCATCAAAATAAGGCAAGTTTTGCACCACTGGCAACTCAATACAAACATTACATGACAGTTTAGGCAACAAAAACTGAGAAAAACAGTCAAAAAAATATTTAGTCTACTAATTTAAGCTTCATAAGACTAGCTTTGATGCTATATCAAGATTCAATTGTCTTCTTTTAAAGAATATTCATGACACAGAAACAAAATAATTCGTATTTAACTATTTTTAAAGCATTTTAATGCTAAAAAAATAGTTAAATACGAATTATTTTGTTTCTTTGTCTGGAACTTTTTTGAAAAAAAAAAGACAATTGAATGTTGATATAGCATCAAAGCTAGTCTTATGAAGCTTAAATTAGTAAACTTATATTATAATTCATAACCGACAATTTGCAGACAGCCTTGATGTCATTAGTAGACAGCCCTGAAGCCAAAAAAGTTGCTTCACAAAAAAATAGTTAATCAAAAACACGCTATCTCGAAATATGTAAATGGTAAATATTTTCTAGCAAATAAACGAAAAAACAAGAAATTAAAAATGAGAAATGAAAGCGGAAATGATAAAAAAAACGGATAGTAGATTCCATTTTTGATTAAACTCTGCATTTAAAATAGTGACACGATCAAACGAAATATGCAACATGCCTTCTGAATGAAAAATTAAGAGAGTCGGAGCAGCTTACGAAGTTCAGTCATTCTTTGAAAAAATTTATTCCTAGAAAAAAGTCTTGAATCGCGGTGCAACAATATTCTTTAATCTTTTATTTAGTAGTAAAATTATCAAAAAGTTTTCAAATCAGAAGTATTTCATCGAACAATTTACACAATTATGGCAAGCAATATCATCATTATTTTCTGGCCATCGAGATGCTTCAAAGTTTTCTATTATGTAGGTTCGATCTTTACCCCATAAATCTTGCCTCTCAAACAAAAAGGAATTATCATTTTTCATTGTACGTAAAAATCTCGAAATCTAAGCAAAACAGTTTTGCTGGGATTTTCTAAAGATACCTTCAGCAAAAAGTATCAGCGAAAATTATAAACAAATTTTTGCTCCGGCTTTACTAACGAAATCAACGATATATTTGTGCTCGGGTGGTTTTTTTTCTTCAGACAAAAACTAGCCATTTTTGACAATTTTTTTATATCATTCAAAAGATATCCATTCTGCTTGTCTTGAGCTTAAAATTGAATAAATAATTCAACTGTGATCATTTTTGGTAAAGTTATGGGGGTTTAAAGATTACCATTTTTTTCAATTTGGAACAATTGACGCGCGATTTATTTCGCGCTATTAACACGTAAGCGGAGATTTAAGCGTCTTAGAAATCGTTCCAAATCGCCTGAAGGAAGCTTATTTGCCATAACTGATTTGTTACTAGGAGCGATGTCTATCACTTGAATAGAACTTTAATCAATACACCTAATCGCTAAAGACCTTTCCAGTTGAACTTTGTAGCCAGAAAAAAAAACATTTTGTTAATTCCAAATTAATGACATTATTCGTAACCTTGAGATTCTTTACATCATTCCAGGTAACTTGTTTGGACCATTCGCTGATTTTCACACGTAAAATGAGGTGTCTGTTGTATGCCCTGCCGAACCAACCGAAAACGCGCGAAATCAACCGAAAGTATAAGCCAGCAGAAACGTTACGTCACATCAATGATTTTTTCATGACTCTCGCAACTTTCACATAATTGTTAAATAACTAGTATGTAATACTTACGTATTTTCAGCTGGTTGATACGTAAGTTCGGTTGATTTTCGGTTGATTTTTATATACCACCAGACTTACTTTGTCTGCCGAAAACACACTGAGCTGCTGTTATGACCCAGTGGCGATCTATCATTGTCCCCCCACAGTAGCTATCAGTAGTGTGCACAATAACAAAGAACATTCTAGATTTACTGTCTATTCCATCCACTATTGCTGACACTAAAGACTGGCTAATGTTTGTTCTGTTTTCACTGCTCACGATGTTTTTTGCATCAATAAACATTGTAGAAACACTCAAAAGTATGAAAAACGAGAAGCCACGACAAGTATACATTTTGGAGAAAATGCTGAAAATATTTCACGCAATACTGATTTGATATTAGATTGGAAATGAACCTTCAAAACACTCTAAATAAATCAAATCAAATACCATGATCCGACAATTATTTGCTCAAATAACAACTAAATTTTATGATTTGATTATAAGGTTAGCCTCAGCCATAATGCATATGCTGATTATATTATCAATTATCTAACACAGCACCATAATAATTTTTGTCGAAAATAAAGCTAGCTTAACTTAATTATTTTAAATCACTACTTAATTCATATGCAAAAAAAAATGCAAAAAAATTAGTGTCAAAATCGTGAAATGCACCTCTCATTTTGAAGGAGGGAAACGGAGCTAGCGTTCATTACCTGCCACTTTTTTCACTTCTTGATTTTAGGCAAAAGTATCACCCAAAGCTGCCATTTCAATTGACCTCTACATACAATTTCTTCATGCCCTAGTTTATTTCAGTTGCTGGCTACTGAATCGAATATTTTCTTTATTTTGTTCCAGTTAAAATTTTTCAGAAAAATGAAACGATCAGCGTAGGTGTTAAAATTTGACGAATAATTTGAAATAATGTTTTTAAATTTATAATATTGTGTCGCTGAGCGTAATTATATTACCAATGTATGCTTTTTCATTCAATTACGCATAGTACCATGAAATTAAAATTTTGAAAACACTTTTTTAATTCTTTTTCATGTTTGAAAACAAACGCTGATTGCTTCGTTTTCCTGAAAATTATTGAATGGGACAAAAAGTTTAGAAAAATTACAAACGATCAGACCACAACAAAAAATTTTGTGGTGTATAATTCGGGCGATCAGTCAAAGAGTGAAGGTTTCGAAAAATTGACAATCAGAGGATTGAGTGGGGAGGGGTATTGTCATCATTGAATGGCCTATATCATTGATGAATTGATTATATGGTGGCAGGACAATCTACCCTATTCCAAACTACCCTATACCATTCTACCCTATGCCATTATATCCTACATACCAATCTACCCTATGCCAATCTACCCTATACTAATCTACCCTATACTAATCTGCCCTATATACCATAATGAGGTATCATAATGTAATCTTTCAAAGTCCTAATTAGAATCGGAAAGATACAGCACGTGTTAATTCATTTGAGTCTAAATTTTTGGACTCAATTTGAGTCTTTCACTTAAGGAAATTGTTCATTGCGCTTAATTCCAGCTCTAAGTTTCGTACCAGTTGAAATGGTCAATGCTGCTTTTGACTTGGTCATTGAGGAAATCGAAAACGTGTCGGACAAATTTGATCTTGACGACAATATCACTCAAAAACTTGATGAGGTAGCCTCATACTTTCAGCGCACCTACATTAAAGGCGAAACCATCGGAAGGAATTCTCGCGAACCTCTCTTCCCAGTGGCCGTAGAGGGCTGAAATTTTGGGAGGTAATAGAGGCCAATACCAAAAGAATTTTACCTTCTCCCTCACCCCGCCCCCCAGTACCGCCTTGGCCTGGTACTGGGGGGTCTACCCCTCCTTTTGTGATCAACTAGTCAAACCCTCAGTAATTTTCGAATTTCATTCAAAATTTGACTTCTTGGTGATTTGATCTTTCGAGCTTTTGATTTTCAAACACAGGCATTATCCGCTACGCTATGTCGACTTGATGTGATATGACTTTTGTTTGTTTAAGAAATAGCCGCAACGCATTTCTATAGCAACATTGGATTAAAATTTCTGTTCGTTCATGCTTTGAACTCATTTCCATTTTGAACGCGCAAGTTTTACGTTGCTTTGATATTTTGTTCACGTGCGTCAATTATTCTTTGATCATAATTAATGGTTCTTTGATTTGTTCGGAAATATACTGTTTCGGATTCTTCAAGAGGATGGGGTAAGTTTCAATTGCTTTAATTATAGGGTAGAATGGTATAGGGTAGATTGGTATAGGGTAGATTGGTATGTAGGATAGAATAGTATAGGGTAGATTAGCATAGGGTAGATTGGAATAGGGTAGAATGTCATGGAACCGATTATATCAGTCAAAAGCGTTATTTAAGCGTCTTCCAATTGGTCGTAAAACATCACATTTTGGAATTTTTATTTTATTTCTCGGAAAAAAAAGAATTAAATTCAAATATCAAATTTTACTATTATGCGGGAATCTCTTATCTAGAACAAGAGCAAGGTTATGTTTCATACTTAGGAAACAATGCCTAGTTTAATTTGTATAAAAATGAAACAGACAATAGCTATATCAAGGTGGTATAGCACTGTCTGTTTTATTTTCAAGTAAAACAAATGTGAAATTAATTTCTAAGAAAGTGACAGCATACAGCAGGGCATGCAGCAGTTCCAGAAATTCTCCAAATTAGTGTAAACCTGTTCTGAGAATACATTTTAGGTGTGATCAACCAACGCGGGGTCTTTTGAACAATCAGAAATTGTTGGACAATCAGAGAATTTCCAGCGGGTGAGCAGTGTGTGTTGTGAATAAGGAAGAACCAAAACCAGAAAGAATGCTTGCCTCAATCAGAAAGGTTGCAGTCTATAACCGGATTCCGATTGTTAGCTGAAACGTAATTTTTTGTAAGCCTTTAATTTCATAACATACAAAAAGTTGAAAACTGAAAACTGTATTTTTCCAGCAGTCATCAGTTCTGTTAAGTTCAAACTTTAAACCTGATAACAAGTTATGAATATTGTCTTTTCTATCATGCGGATTTTCTAGTATAAACTCAAAATTTTGTCACATAATTGGAAAACATTTTCAGATTTAATTTAGCTGAAAATGAAACAGTCAAGAGCTATACCACCTTGATATATTTCTTGTCTGTTTCATTTTTATCCAAACTGAATCGGAAATTGTTTCTTAAATATGCGACAGAATCTTGCATTTATACTGGATGTGAAAGTCCTGCCTGATATAAGCGCTGATATTTTTTTTGTCATAAGATTGTCGTCAGATTTAAAGTTTGATCTTATCAGTATTGATGAACGCTGAAAAAAAAACAGTTTTTATCTTTTTTTTTTCACATTACGATCATAAAGGATTGCAAAAAATTGCGTTTCAGCCACCAAACGGAATCCAATTAAAACTGCAACCTTTTTGCCTGATGCAAGCATTTCGTTTTGGTTTTTCATCATAGTGACACAACATTCATTGCTCAACCCCCGCGAAATCATCTGTTTGTCCAACTTTTCCAAAAGGTCCCCTTTGCAAGGCTAAATTTTTGATGTGCGCTCTCAGCAGTTTTTTTTAGCTTTGAGGATTGGTAGACATGCATGCTGTATGCCCAGAAAAAGCAAAAAGCATTTCCTAATCTGAACTGAAACAAAAATTCAACTGGAAATGTGTTTGACTTTTACCAGTGTCTTGGTCATGTCATAAGGCTTTTATTGTGGGTTTTTATATATTTGTAAGAATTTATAGTTGCTTTCATGGGCGCGTTTAAGGAAAATTACATGTTCAAGAGTACCAAAAATGACAGTGATTGGTAATACTCAATTTTTCAATTTCAATGATATTCACTGAGCCGCCATTGGAGTAAAGAAATTTGTTTATTGAATTTTACAGATTCAACAAAACTATTCGTATAGTGGCGAAATCTTGAGTGTTTCAGCTGCCCTTTAGATGATCCTAAATATTTTTTGGTGAATTAAATATTGGAAACGTCAGATTTGAAGTTTTATTTTATCAGTATTGATGAACGCTGAAAAAAAAAACAGTTTTTATCTTTTTTTCTCACATTATGATCATAAAGAATTGCAAAAAACTGCGTTTCAGTTACCAAACGGAATCCAATGAAAAACTGCTATGGTTTTTCATTATTCACAACCTTCATCGCCCAACCCCCGCGAAATCATCTGATTGTCCAACTTTTCCAAAAGGTCCCCCTTTGCAAGGCTAAATTTTTGATGTGCGCTCTCAGCAGTTTTTTTTAGCTTTGAGGATTGATGAACATGCATGATGTATGCCCAGAAAAAACAAAAACCTTTTCCTAATCTGAACTGAAACAAAAATTCACATTTGTATTTGACATTTACCAGTGTCTTGGTCATGTCATAAGGCTTTTATTGTGGGTTTTTATATATTTTTGGTCGTAAAATTTGACTTATTATCCAGATGTATTTTACTAAATGCTGCCATTAAAAACCACGTAACTTGATTTTGTTTTCAAAGTTTCAGTCAGGATAGAATAAGTACGAACATTTAACATTAAATTTAAAAAACACATCGTGGTTTAGCAGAAAAAAAATATGTTATTTTTCTCTTGGGACTTTCAAGAGTAATGAAAACTGACAAAAAATGAAAGTCTTAAACTTCTGAAATTGTGATGAAGTTTCATTGAGTTTGCAACGGAGTATAAGATCAAATGTTATGACTGAGCTCCGTTTTAAGAAGCAGAAGAAACTCTTTGCAGACAAAATTTTTCTGCCGCGTTTGAATCAAAACAAAGAGCAAAGTTTTTTCGATTCTAAAGCAAAAAACTTAATCTTGCCATTCATAATTGGCAAAATAATATTGGGAAAAAAACATTTCTAGGCCAAACGGTGTATTTTTTGAATTGTAAGCGAATTCCGCAACAAGGATGCTCCGTTTGTTCTTCTGTTATTTCATTCTCTTTGATCGTTCCTAAAAATTTTGACCATGTTTAAAGATTTGTCTGTGGAATCCAGGAACATACAAACACAAAATTTTGCGCCTATCCCTCGAAATGGTTTGGCCTCGCAATGAATGCGGCAGATTTCGATTGGTCCAACTCTTTCCTTTTTTGCAAGACTTTCATTTATGATACTATTTCCCCTCAAATCTGAATGTCAAATTTTTCTTTTGATTGACTACTCCTAAAATGTTCAAAGGCAACTTGAGAACCATTATATGTGATATTTGGTTACGATGTTCAATCTTTTGACATGCCTTAATCTGAGGGTCATCCCGTATGTCATCTATCAAGAGCCTTACAATTTTTCTGCTTTAAAATTATTTGAGAACGTAGAAAATTATAAAAGCAGCGTGCAGGGTATTTTGTGAATTAATTTAGGGCCAAAAAGATGATTATAACATCATTAATTGT